TTAGTTTCATTTAATAAAGAGAGTTTCATTTAATAAGTCATTTCTGGTTTCATATTTATCCGCTGAAGCAAGGTGTGGTACAAGTCGAGTTGGGGTGCGACAGAAAGTTTCATATAGATCCAAATCAGATGCTGTGCCAAGAAAGGAGACATCGACAACATAAGATACTGGGGGTCAGGACCAGACAGACTGACTCAGTTGAAATAGAAGAATAGAAGAAGCTGCGGTGTCAAAGTAAGCAACTTGCAGGTCTGTTCGAGTGGAACTTACATTAGATAGATATTGGTAACCAAGGATAGGATAGGACACTCCTTCGCCCGAAAAGTAAGTCAAAGGAGAGTGTCGGGTGCACGGATTTATACTCTGCTAAGACAAGTTTACCGCTAACAGAGTTTCTGCTCAATCCCAATCGGGCATACAGTTCTGATTGAATTAATACTAGCTAGCTCTTATTCTTTATACTCCCAGTTGGGTCTTCAACTTTGGATTATTATTAGTGAGGGGGTGGGGTCTCGTTTCATTCCTCTACAGGCTGCCGCATTCCTATTCTTATTGGTAGATGTTTCATTCTAATAAGTATTGGTAAGGTCTATAGTTTGAAGATAATAAACAGAATCATAGGATGGAGCTAGAGCTAGCTCATGACCTATCCTTTCAGACCCGCTTATTCTTATTTGACTCATTTATGTGACTCATTTCGGGAGATTGGAATCGGTAAAGCATTGCCTCTGATACTTATCTATGGAATTGGGCAATACTCTTAATAAGGGAGCGGGGGGGATCTAAACTATTCTGATTATTAGGAATACCAGAGTTTCAGACCAGAGAAGTAGATAGTTCTGAATTCCACTCTTTCTTGCCAACCCAGTACAGTACGAGTAGGAAATAGAGAGAAAAGCACCTGCTGCCCGGGGTAGTCAATAGGCCAAGTCTCCAGTGTTTTAGAGTTATGAGGTAGATTAGATTATTGGCTAAAATGCACCAGAGGGATCGTTTCTTAGTTTCAATGTACTATTAGCCATTAGCAGAGTTGACCTTATGTTAAACGTATAGAAAGAAGCCTTCTTGCCCATTTGTAGTTACTTGTCTGGTAGTAGCTTGGCGGGTATAGTAGCTTGAGTTAGATGAGATGGAGGCAAGAACAGAACAGATAGAGGCGGACTGCTTTCCTGGCACCTACCTACTAGTGTCAAAATACAGGTGACGAATACAGCACTTGCTTATCTTAATAACTACTTCACTTGAGCAACTAGGAGCTGAGCTGAATCTACTGTTCCATATTATTAATATACGAGAACATATAGACTCGAACAGGCAATAAGAGTTGACGAACACAGGACTCGGTAAGAACTTGTACAGACCCCCTGAGCTCCAAAAAACAGGACTTGCAGTAGTCGCCCTTACTTATATGAAAGCTGCTTGTCTGGCATTGAAAGAGACTATCCCATACCGCAACACCTATACCTATTGCCAGAATTCTTAATTGAACTTAGTGAATACCCGATAGCCCTGCTTCATCTCTTACAGCGGATTCTGGAGCCTCTTCTCCGTGGGCATTAGAAATAGATGCCTCACACACCGCTACGTGGGCAGTTTCTATCTTTTTCTTGACTTTCATAATAGAAGTTAGTTAATAATAACAGAGAATATAGAAATAATAGAATATAATGGAGAATAGTTGAACAGAACCACTTTACGATGAAACTAGAACATCACTCAAAAGAGCGGGTAGGGCTTTATACGCAGCACCCATAATAGGCACCCACATCTATTGCCTAGCCTAGCATATACAAGGAATCCGTTCTTGTCTTATTCTTATTCATAGACTTACTTGTTCCATTCTGACAGTTTGAGTCTTCTAAGCTTGCCCTCTCAAGATTCCTGTCCTGTTTGAGCCCCGGCAAATGATTCTTCCCAGGCTAAAAAGAGTCCTCCCTGACTAAAAGGATTCTCTCTTTACTAAAAGGAGTCCTCCCTGTCTAAGTGCTGTGTGCAATCCCTTTATTTCAGTTATGCGCTAATAAATCCTTCTTGTTGAAATTCTGTTACTACGCAGTTTTGCTTGCGTTAGGTAAGTTTGAAGTGAGAAATTCCATTGATGTTTGACTTGGCACAGTCGCAACAGTGTTTCATGCTCTAACAGTCCTGTAGAAAGCTTGCAGTCCAGTGACAAAGTAGAAAGTGGCTTCCACCCTTAAACAAGACTGACTCTTAACACGTTATATAACATATTGATGTTGCTACTGACGCCGAAAACAGAAGTGGGCTTGGCTCTTTGCCTTTGCCTAATTCTTTGCACTTTCTTTGCCTTTGTAGTAGTTGGTAGTTGTGGCTGGGCTGTTGACTACTAGAGTTTCACTAGAGCTGCTCTTATAGTAAGTTGTTTGTATACTTAAGGGAGTTGCTAAGGTTAACTTGGCAGATCAGAAGCTGTTTAAAGTAAGTCATCAGCAAACGTTCAACGAGCCCAGAATAAGCTTTATCCTGATTCAAAAGAAAAAAGGGAGACTAAGGGTGGAAATGGATTAAGGCAGGCCAGATTCATAAGATAGAAATTCTTATATGCTTGACTTGACAGTGATGCGCAAGACTCAGTTAAGCGCTAAGTTGAGTTGTTGACTTTACTGGCGAAAAGGAGTAAGATTGGTTGTCAACGAGAGAATCCGCTGTTCGAAAGGAAGCTGCAAGACGCTCCTAAAGTATAGAGTCAAGAAAAAGTCCTGTTTTCTGGTGTCAAATTAATGAGTTGGACTGTAGGAGAGTGGACATAGTAGATTCCACAAAAGAGGAGTTGACCCGCGATGCTCAAAGGTAGACTTTCTTTGTTGACCGGGCAGTAACTAAAATGAAGGGTGGGCTATGTATTGACTATTTCTATACCAACCGATGTGCTCTTTACTTCAACTCAGACTTTCTAACTGAAACTAGCAAGTCAACACTTCATTTATGGAGAGCGCCAATCCAATATCTCCCGTAAGCGCCGAGTACACTAATACTTATTCCCTTTCGAGCGCATGTCTATATGTTAGTAATCTGGCCTCCTTCTTGACCTCTATGCGATCAAAGCAACAAAGAATTCATTGAACTCTTTCACTTCCCTTGTTTTAATAAGATAGATAAGATTTAGAGGCTGTAGAGGCAGTATCAGAGGCTAAAGAGCGATATCCAGCTTCTACTATTTCCATTCATTATTCTCTTTATAAAGGAGAGTCAGCTGATGGAGTCAAAACTACCACTGAACCACCCATACAAGTATGTAACCAAGCCCGACCCAACCCCCACTTCAAGTTCAGAAGAAGCCTACGATGGGGCTGGATCAGATGATGCAATCGGTACCTATTTCTTTGATACCGGAATTAGGCCTTGATTCTTTATATCTTATTGATTAGTTAGTTCTTTAAAAACTGGGCTACGTTGCTTGGTTAGTAGTTACTGGGCCTGGTCTCTGTTTCTGTCCGGAAGGTATTAGTAACTGACCTCATTCTGTAAGGAAAGAGAACTGGGCTAGGGCAAGGTAGTGAACTCGTTATCCGTGGCCATTCGTACTCATAATATTCTAATGAGAAAATCAATGTCGAAACAACATGTGCAGGGCAGGGCGATCGGACGTGCATGGTTCGTTCGTTCATCTATGGTTCCCGGGCAAACTACCTTGGACTTACTAGCTCGGTTCTTTAAGTACAATAACTCATTCATTGATTCTTCGGTCGACATCCATCCCCACATGCAACAATGGTCCCCGGGCATATAAAGTACCTCGGGAATTCCTTCGTTCGTTCGTGCACCAATGAAGGATTGAATGACAGCGGTGGTCGCTCGTGGGCTGATGATTGAACCTCCCGTGCGTTATTGAAGACTTAGTTCCTGGCCGCTCGTGGACTGATTGGTTCTACCTTTCAGAATGAGGTTTCCTACTAGCATTTATTGTTGACCTACCTGTGAATTAATTACCTAGGGGCCGGACCACCATGAACGAAGGTCCTACCATGATGCACGTACACGATGGTGATGGTGATGGTGAACGATCGCTCACTTATTAAAGGTGGTCGCTCGTGGACTGATGTGCTCCTCAAGGACTATGTGTTTTTACCTTTCATTTCATAATTAGTCCCTCGCCTAGGAGGTGTGAGCAAGCTTATATCCAAGGTCGGGCAAGTTTACGGACGAGGTCGTTCAAGCTTATGGACTTCAATCAATCCCTGTTCGTTGTTGGTTGTTCGATCAATATGTTCTCGTATAGTAAATAAAGTAATAAGAAAAGAAAGAAAAGAAACACTCTATGAGCGAGCAAAGGCTGCTTTGATATCTGTAGTGAAAGCCCTATTCCGATTAGTAATCTCTATGCCAATTAGTCTATTTGGGCATGTTCCAATCTAGTGGCGCAGTGCTCTATCCGCCAAGTAATGTATAATGTGTAGCGGCGTTAGTGACTTTCTTATTGGAAGTAGCGATAGTCCATATTTTCCACTTCGATGTCTTAGAGCTATGCCCGATATCCGGTATTCTGTCTTTCATTCCGGCTTTCCCTTATTAGCATCAGTAGGTATTAGTATTTGTAGGCTCCCCAGCCCGATCAGTATTAGGTAACTTATGAGTTTGATGCCCCAGTTCAATTCTGTGACTTACTTGCTCGATTCTTGTCAGCACTAGTCTCATATATGGGTTGAAAATGCACTAGAACATCACTTTTGTAGTTTGATGGCGGATCCTTCATTGAAACATATAAATATGAGAAAGATAGAATACCTAGCTCATGATTCTTTACCTAAGGTAACCTCCAATGCCTTTCTCTTGCGCCTCTGAAACTCTCCCTATCGGTATGAAACAAGAACCAGAACTTTACTACCGGGATTCCACTTCACGGGGCTCCTGCCGCATCACCGAACACATAGGGAGTCAGTATATGAATAGGGTCAGAATGGAACAAGCCAGGCTGGGTACTAATGAGAAGGGCAATAATAAATAATTGCTAGCGCATGAAGTAATAGAATGAATATTGTTATAGAATAGTTTGTATATGAATTAGAATAAGACAAGATAGCATTAGTTACTAAGAGGGATAGATCTAGCGCATCTAGTATAGGAGTCAAGAGTTCCGGTATGAAATACTAACTACATAGGAGTCAAGAGTTCCGGTATGAAATACTAAATACCAAGAGGAGAATTCTGTACCGCCAATTCCGTTTTAGGGGGCTCCGTTTCACATGGGTCTGTAGAGGCTTGAAGCACCTTGCTTGTTCGAAAGCGCTTGCTAGTTCCCTTGCATGGGGAGATATTCTTTAGTTGCATCATTTCCGTTACTTGGGGAGTTCCACTATCTGCTCTCGGGGCGCTAACGGGCGAAGCCCTGCCCTTGTGCTTGTTGAATGGAATCTAGTGAACCAAACCAAATATAATAGAAGATAGTAACAACACCTTACTACTGACTCTTTCCTGACTCACTTACGGCTTTGCTTCTAAAACTCACGATCGAACTCCACTCTACCACTTATTGCCTTATTGCCCGGTGCACCACGAAAGTAATTTATGACTTGTGAATCTAGCATATCGAGAAGAACCCCGCTTTTCAAGGACAGAGGCAGAGGTCTCCTTTCGAAGTTTCTACTTGCTAAGTTGTGCATGCATTAGCTAGTTCCATTTCCAGCCCCGAGTAGTGGTAAAAGTAGCATATGACAGAATCTAGTAAACAAGCAGCTTCCCGTTCTTTATTATTCTATTTCCTACTTTACTAGGTGTTCGATAGACTCAATGAAAATCCATTCCAATATCAGTTGAGTAAGCTGTTAGCTTTGGAGTAAAGGAATACAGTACCAGTAGTGAGTAAGCTGCAGAATGGACGGATTTGAGGGCCCTTAGCACAAGGTGTCTTAGAGAGAGAGAATCGTAAGTGACAAGATCATATCTGCGGGATCCTGAGTTGGCGCAAGGCAGGCAGCAGCAAAGCAATATATAAGTCTCTTTTTGTTCCTTGAAAAAGGGAATAGACAGACACTTGACAAACTCAATATTCTATACCAGGTTAGCCGGAGGTATTGAGATAGAATAGCGACCCTATTGCTCTTAACCAACCCATCCCTACTAAACAGGGCTTACTCATAAGTTGACTACTGACTCCCTTCTTATGGGCTTACTCATAACTAGTAACTGACTTCATAGCCTAGTAACAGAGGAATTCCACAAGCCTACCCCTTAACTAGACACATGGCAAAACAGGACCTGAACAAAACACATGATAGGCAAAACTAACCCATAATAGGCGCAACCACATCTATTCTAGCGACACCCCCACTATTCATTCCAAACACACTCTCGACTAAGAATTCCACTGAAGCGACTACCTTCTTGCCCTCACTGGGTTGATTCTTTAACTACTTAGGTCAGAGTTCACTTTCATTCTCACTTTCCAACTAGCTCCTACTAGCTCCTACTAGCTCACCTCTGAGTACAATTATATAACTTAGTTAACAAGGCTTATACCCACTAGTTCCATTCCGATACTGAGATTGACTGGTTTCACTCTTAGCCACGCCCCCGCTGGTTCATTCTTAGTCATAGGAGTTTCATTCTGACCTTTGAGTTCACCCCGACCCGAGTGGAATCATATATAAAGAGAAGATCTAATTTAGTATGATTTCCTCTACTGTGTCGGTACTAGTGTCTTGGCCACCTGTTTTTCGGTTAATTTAGCTCTTTCTACAGTGTTAAGTCCACTACCCTAGCCTCGTATAGGAATTCCATAACTACCCTAACAAGCAAGTAAGTAAACGACACTACCCAAGTAAGTAAACCAGCCGACCCTACCCTCGTATAGGAATGCAACTCTTAAGTAGAAGCCTTAAAGCCAGGGCAGTGAGACTGAAAGCAAAAGGATAGTGATACTGAGATGAAGTAGCGTAGCGGCAGGCTCGGAGAAGGGGGGCGATAGACTGTATTCCTAGTTGAGGGCTATAAGTCCTGTTAGTCAAGGTTTCGTTCTTGTACTTCTTATAGTAGTTTGATCACTTTGGTAGTTAGTTAGGTCTATTAGCGAACTAGTGGATCCTTGCTCCTATTATTAGTTGTAAGGTTGGAAAGAGAAGAAGGGGAGGCACACAGGCTAGGATAAATCAAGGGAAGTCTAAATATGTTCCCCCGGGTTGCAAATATTGTTCATAGTGGTTCGATTCGTATAGTTATTAGTTGGATTCTGATTATAAGTCAGTTAAGTCTATTCCAGTATGTGCTACATCGTACCTATGAGTTGTGGGAATACCTATTTGTGGTGTGTGTCGTCAGGTAGTAAGCCCTAGATAAGGGAGATAAAGAAATGAATAAGGGAGTTTCTGTTTTCAAGTAAGCAGTAGAAACCTAAGGCATTATAATCAGAATAAGTGATGTGTTCGTACCTGGGTAAAGGAATAGACACCACACTCTGGATCAGAGGGAATCCAAATAATAAGTCAATAATAAGTAAGGATGCATCACCAGAGGAACTCGAATGGAAAGTGAGAAAGTAAGCCCGAGAGGCAGTAATGCAAAGGTGTGATATCGGGTAGTGAAAGCCCAGTTTCAAGTTCCAGTATTGCTAGCAGTGTTTTGATTCTGTATTATTGGTTGGATTCCCTGAGAGGGAGGTGTCCTATAGTGATATAAAGTCAAGTACTACTGATAGCTAGTGCAGTTTCGTAGGCAGTAAGCAAGGTTTGAGTTAAGTAGTTGCAGAGCCAAAAGATAGATCTAGGTTTAAAGCAAGTAAGGAGCCCTGCCCGAAGCAAGTAAGTATCCAAAGCAGTATTTAAGGAATCCGAGTAAGGGAAGTCATCCTAAAAGGCGAGTACAGTAAGTCAAGTCGTTAGGAAAATCAGAATCAAAGAAAGGGCCAAGCAAGTACTATACTTATGACTTGTCTCGGCCGAGCACTCCCTTATATCAAATCGGTACTCTTGCCTCTTAGCCTAACACCCTATACTTAAATTCTCTTACTTATTATCGCCATTCTGACTTGCAAACAAACCCCCGCTCCTGTCTACTACTACGGATGATAGGCTGTTACCACTCACTATGGCTTTAGCCTACCCTTTCTTCATCTAAGGCTCGCTCCCCTTGCTTTGAAACTATTTCTCCCCACCTTAACTCTTTAACTCATGCCTAATAACCTGTCTTTACAACTTCTTTTCATTCCATTCCTTAACTAATAACAAGGGCTCTCGCTACAGCTTCTAAGACTAATGGCTATTGCTGTCAGGACTTCAGTTACTGCCTAACAGGCTTACCTTTCTGACTTTATATAAAATCGTAGTTGGCTTATCGGTCTATGAATGATACTGGAAATAAGTAATAAGTAATCAAACTGCACCTATAGACTCGAACAGTTACTCATGCTTTTCACTCTCTAGCTCCTGATCTCATATCTTGACTTTCTATAGAAGCACGAGATTCATAGCTGGCTCTCTCGCTTCTAATTCTGAGTATGTCTCTCCCGTCTTTAAGGCTGCCTTTCCTTTCTTCTATTCTTTTCTTTCACCGTTGATCCGGACCTTTGCTTTATTGTATTGTATCTTAGCCTACATCTCCTGTTTATTGGTCTGTGGCTACTTCCTGGCATCCTTGCTTCCACAGATAAGTCTACCGATCCTTAAACTCAGCACTAGCATTCTGGATTTCACCTATGAGCCTGCCTCTTTTGTCTTTTAAACGGATATTTGCTTGAGAATATTCTGACTATCCTTTGTCTCGGCCTATCACTACTGCCTTCAAGTCTGCTCTTCCTGTCTTTGATTCTGATTCTACTCTATTTACTACTATCTGAGAAGTTTGACTCTATTTACTACTATACTAGAGCTAGCAATACCTTAACAAGTACGGGCAAGGCGGGTATTACTATAGTGAGAATGAAATTCCAATAGGTAGGATGAAACCACTGATTGAAAGAATAAACACCGATAACAAGACAACAGCCTTCAAGTCAGAACTATACTAATATAAATGACTTTTCTCCTCCCCCGTCGGAATAGACTAGTGCACAACCCCCCGAGTCAGAATCGAATCTTACCCGACAACATTCAACTAACTACTCCCCAACCCGAGGTCTGTAACAAGGGATTGCACCACAGCTAGCAAGGCTATAGGCTTACACAATACGCTAATAGAGGGAACGGAGCCCCAACTTGATCAAAGCTGTCCTTCCTTTCTCCTATTCTCTGTACTACTCTTTGTATTCTTTATTTCACTCAGAATTCTTCTACTAATTACCTAGAACCCTGCTTCACTCAACTATAACCTGGCTCGTGAGTTTAGGTATTCCCCTCCTTGCTGTTAGCCAGCCTCTCCTTTATCTAGTTCTTCACTACTAAGAGCTATTGTATAAGAATAAGTCAATCAATGCTATTACACATAAGAAGAAGTATCTCGATGGCGCATCCCTCTTTTCTGGAATTCTGAGATCAATATCTCCATTCTCCATATCTCTATTACCTCTTTGACTCTCTGTTTCACCTCGGATTCTTTGCCTACTGGGCGTAACCCTTACTGCTATGGGGAGTGGATCTGACTTTAAGTAATGCTAACGATACTTGCACTGGAAACTGGGGCTTCTCATAACCAACCTCAAAACAGGCAATCCACAGCTAATACCATTGGAACTAAGCTCGCTAGCCATATTCTTTCAACCATGTTCTTTAAACACATATCTATTGGCCGCGTAACATTAGGTCTCTTCACTTGTGGGTTTGTCTCCCTTTACTGGTACTATAATAAGGCTTCTTTCACTCTGTCCTTCCCGACTACTGGTCTAATTATCCTGTCTCTATTTCAGTTACTGCCGGTACTTACTTTAGATCCTGACTATTATAAGTATACAGCTACTTGCTCTAAACTGTTCTTTCTTGATGACAGTCTGATTCCACTATTCCGAACTCCCTCTTAAGGGATTCAACTAATTCACAAAGAGACTATCCTAAAGGCATCTAGAAAGCTGCCCTCGCTGAAGCTTATTATTCTTCTGGTTGGGCCTGTAGCACTCCCTTCCGGTAAGG